TGCTAAACTAGCTTTTGGATTTAGGATAGAAAACACCCTCAGGACGACACGAATGAAGATCTAAATCCGTCGTGTCTTGCTCACCGTTTAAGACGTATGCCTCACTGTCACGAGACGATAAAGTCCTTTAAGACGAGAGCTGGCATGGACAAAGTGCAAAGGGATTATTATTGCTCTGATTCATATGCAGATCACTTGAGATATCCATGTTGGTGCCCTTCCTCCGTGGCTTGTTTTGCTTTCCTTCCCCTATTTTATTTCCTTTATTCACGGACAGGAAGTGAGTATGTATCTAAGCTAAATGTTCCCTCTCCTTTATCCCATGTTTCCTCTTGTTATTTTCGGGTGGTTATTCTTAGGTCATTTTAAGGTTGCTATGAGCTTTAGGGTAGAGCTCTCTTGTTGTTATACAGCCCTTCAGCCCTCCCCTCACGTGCGTATTACGCCATAATCCATGATTATGTAATAGGGTGCATACATCTGTGTGATGGGGGAGGTGCGTTCTTATATTCCTAGAAAGAGGAAATCCCCCTGCAACATACTACACGAAAAACAAGTGTACCCATACCACACATGCCACTTAACACACACATGTACACATATAAATGTAGTGCTGTGTATTGAACGTTCCACACGTAATTTTAACTAACTATTTTAGAATTGTATGGAAGTTTTAAAATGCCTCAAATAAAATCAACTAAATTAATGAAGTAAAATTCAATACGCATTGTAATTTGTAGTATTTGTTATTTGACAGTGTTAAATCCGAAACATATGCTTAAAAAAAAACAATGTAGCTCTTTTTTCTAACTGATTAGGTGTACTGTATTTTATTAAAAGAGTCAAAACTCCAGCAACAGTTTTCATAAAGCACATATAATTAGTATATTTAATGTGAAAAAGACACATATCGGCTTTATCACAAACTGTTAGGAAATAATTTGTTTAGATATTCAACCTTCGACAGAGTTCATAGTTTTCTCCCTTCACTGTCTCTTTTCCCATGGCATAGGTCTACGGCCGGTATTGCTGCTATCTCTCTTAAGGAGGGGCAGCTTGGGCGCATTTTTGTTGCCAGCTGATGACCGAGCACAAGCTGACATGAGCTGACATGATGAGATGTTTATTGTTCAGGGACATCGTCTTTTCTGGAATGTAGGTTCCCTGGCGCACATTCTTGTTTTAGGAACAAGAGCTTTAGTTGGATTCAGGGTCCATATTTGTTTAATCTCGCTGATAAAGAATGCTGATTGTTACACTCTGAACTAGTTAAAACCTGGAACTACAGGAGGGTTCTTCAGAATTGATTGTGGCATCTCAAGCGTGTGGTCAAACCGTGGCCCGTGACATGTCTTGTGAATTCTCCGGCCGAAGCTCCAAATAAACCGTCAGTGTTTGCCATCAAAGCTCCAGCTCTCCTCGTGTCTCTCTGAGTCCTGTTTCTAATTGCTTCAGAAGTTTCCCCCACAGTCACCATACATAATGTCACAAAAATTAAAACAAAAAAATAAATAGAAGTAAACTCTGAATAGACAAATATTTGTCCTGTTTATAAGATGGACTGTTTTCCTCTCCACAGATACTGGCTGAGATGTGTCAGAGCGGTTATAAGGATGCTCTTCGCTTCCTAGAAGACAACAGTGAGTATCCTTCTCCTCTCTTACCTGACTCTCAGACATACTTTCCTAGTTATGATTCATCCCCATCAGCCTCTAGCGTAACCTTTGGACTGTGTCACTCTCACCCTGTTTTCTGAGGCATAACATAATTTCAGTATTACATTTCCTAGAGGCCACAAAGGAAAAAAATTGACCCTGTAAGAAAAATGTAATATCACAATTTCCATGACGTCGCTCACTGATACTGTGTTTTGTCCTGCCAGACCTGATTATGCCGGATCATCCGACAGCGGGCCCCTCTCTGCCCGAGCCCCCCTGCTGCTGCCAGCATACGGAGACCAACAAAGAGTGGGTGCTCCGGAGGCTCCGCCTACTGCGGAAACAGCACTGGTGGCTGGATGAGCAGATCAACCTGCCCACGTCCATCAAGAAAGGTGTGATGTCATCCAATACTCTGTTAGCTTTTCGTAATGGAGATGTATTTGAGCTTTGGTTTTGTAATGCCTCCATGAGGTGGTGTATAAACATGCTGTGTGTGACTGATCCGGTTTTGTGTGTGTGTGTGTGTGTGTGTGTGTGTGTGTGTGTGTGTGTGTGTGTGTGTGTGTGTGTGTGTGTGTGTGTGTGTGTGTGTGTGTGTGTGTGTGTGTGTGTGTGTGTGTGTGTGTGTCAGTGTTCTGCGAGGCCTGCCAAGACACACCTGGCTTGTACGCCAAGGTGTCCGAGCTGCTGCCAGTGAGAGTGGCCTCCTACCTGCTCATGCCATGCACACTTCCTGTACAGTCGGCCTACTCAGTGGGCCAGAGGCAAGTTAGTATACACATCTAATCGTTTACAGTATCTCACTTTTTAGCAAAAGAGTTTTACATTTGTTATTTGCAAGTCCATAACCATGTTGTTTTGTTAAAGATCATTTTAAAGCCTATTGTTAAAATATTATAATTTCTCTGTCCCAGGCTTTTGGAGTGGATCCCAGAGGTGCCAGCTGATGTGCGCTGGCTGGTGGGGATGGCAGGTAGCGTGTACCAGCAGGCCTGGAAAGGAGCACCAGCCAGCCCCATCAGGTGACCAATACTTTTTGTATAGCTGTATTTGGTTAACTATTGACATTTTTCCCCTTTTATCAATCATTACAGCTTAAACTTGTACAAAGGGGGAGTGTTTATCTTCGCCTACGCACCATCAATAATACATAAATCACAATCATTTTTAGCAAAACTTGTTCTTTTTTTCACACCTTGCTCCTTTATGATAGCTTTTTTTGCTCATTGCACTTTTGTTTATAGATATACTTTTACGACAGGTTTGTTCAACCTAGTTAATTTGAATCAACTTAAACCATACTTGAAATATAAGTGAAATAAAATCTGTTTAATTGACCTTACAGTGACCCTGGGCTGAGGAAATCCTTGAGTGCGCCGCCTCTAAACACAGAATGTGAGAAACCCATGCAGAGAGACCACCTGCCCGCACTTTCCTCCCTCGATCTCCATGGCAGCTACTGGGAGATCCCCAAATCTACCTCCTCCTCCTCACCCCATCATCATCCTCACACTACCCCCTCGTCACCGCAACAAGTCTGCTTTTTTGTCGGCTCACAGGACGAACATTAGAGCCATTTAAACAGATTCAGGAACTGCACTTTGTCGACGATGCAGACACATTTCCACTTTCTGTGGATTGATGGGCGGTAGAACAATTTGAGCAATAAGCAATGGTGTTACAAGGACACACACTTTATCTCTCATCAGTCAAGGAAGCACTAACTGTATTAGATTGTACTGAGTGCTCTCTGGAAAACCGCTGCACAATTCACTCAGGATTACAGATGTGTTTGATGACCTGTTTTAATAAACAGTACAGAACTGTGTCTAATTGTACAACTACAACTCTACCTACCTGTTTAAAACTATTCAGAAGTAGCATGCAATCCTCATTCCCATACAGCTGATTTCATTGAGAGTAATTTATTTGTTTAAACTTTTGATCATGTGAATTTGAACTGTTTGCAACGCCACCACATAATTATTTTAAAGTTAAATGATGCACCTTATGGCAGCAATGTTGGAAGTCTGCCGGCCAACTTCTTAAAAAAATGTAAAGTCAGAAATATCTAATTTATTTAATCCAACATGTTTTTGACAGTGTTCCATCTGTGGCTATGGCTACAGATAAAGCTTGGGCTTTCTTATACTATAGTGAGACGGTTATTATAACCAAAGCTACAAAAAACGTTTTAATGAACTAAAGTGTCCTTCAGTAGTCTCTGTACGAAGAATAGACAGTTCACTGCCTCACAGAACTATACATATTGAGACAAATAAAACAAGTCACTTTACTCACTGATCAGCCACATTACTGAGTCTCACGCTGGTTAAATTATTGACACAAAGCCTCTGTAGAGTTCCTTGTTGTTACTCAATTTGCCAAAATGAAATACTTATGCTGACTGTGCTAATCAACATTGTTAATGCAATATATTGGTGTTATCAGGGTGTTTTAGATCACTCATAACTTGAAAGTAAAGACATGTTTTTTCACTGTGATTCTCTCTTTCGATTAAATATTTGAATTGATTGATTGTTTTGTTGATTTTTTTGAGTGTCCTGTACCAAATGGTGACAACAACTACTACATTTTGGAAGTCTATAATATAATTTTAACTCCACTACATTTATTTTCAAGCTTTAGTTACTAGTTACTTAGATAACTAACTAAAATAATATCCTCCTGGGACCCGAGGAAAAAAAGTGTCTTCCAATTTCCTTTTTTTTGTGATTTCCTACCTATTTAGGGTTAAAAAAACATCTTGCAATTTAGACTTTTTTTATTTTATTTTATTTTAAAGTATTACAGTATGTCCACTGTAGAGGACGTCAGGACCATATTAGTTTGAAAAGACAGCCAAAATGAACAGATAGACTATGTAACGTATTATGGTTATAGAGTGATATTAATACAATAATACATTCACCTTTATTTAAAACATGAATAAGTAATTGATCTGAACATTGCTGTTTATTTGGTCACTAAAAAACTAGTTTGGTTTTTGGTGAATCTTTCCAGATCTTCAAAGACTTTTATTGTCTTACAGTTTAAAATTTATAGAACATGTCAATTTTATTTTTAATGCTACAACAGAATAACACTCAATTATCTATAAATCACTATTTGATTTAACCGGCATTACTAAGCGTTTGGTCTCCCACTTACATTCGGCTTCCATAAATCGAATTGACGAAGTTCTCGACTGTCACATTAGTCATAAGAACAACCTGTTGTGGTGACAATACGGATCCCACGGGTCAATCATACAAAAAGGCCCCCCCCCCCCCCCCCCCGCCACAAGCCCGACCGCCCCAGGCTCAGGTACTGGTCAGGATGACTAACGATCGGAAGACGGGTACGTCGAAAATTTCCTACAAACAGATGAAGACCGACCTGTTTCTATTGCTGTCGCGAAATAGCGTGAAACCGAGCTAGCCGCAAATCGACTCATATTTCTGCCATCTTCGTCCTTTCTCCGCCTCCCGACTTCCGCGGAGCCCTGATTACGCATGGCCACCCAACCAAATTCAGGCAACAGAAGGGTAGAAGTCGCACCACACTAAAAACTCAGCAGTCAGTCCGGCCCGGAGTCCTGAGGAAAAGGGAGGGTAGGGCGGTAGGGGACGCCTGGAGCATAATGACTACCAGCGAAGAAGACTCGGTGCTGCGGCCAGTACGCGTTTCGCAGCGTAGTCTCTCTGGGGTGTCTACAACTTCCGCCTTTCAAACATCAAGACTCGGGTGGTCGTTATCCCCACGGTCATGAAGGGGTTTTATGAGTTGTGCATGTAACAATTTTATATGAAAGTCAATGCATGTCAATTTTCATGGGTCATAACATTGGGTTTTATATGGGTCAATTTTACAAGTATGCACGGACGAATATAACATTAGAACTATTAATAAATAGTTATAAATACATAGGAGGACCCTGGTCCGGGTAACTTTTACAGGTTGACGATCACCTGTAAAACAATGTAACGTAAGAAGGAAACTGAGAAAACTCGAATGAGATAGGTGTTAGGCGACTACAATGACATGTCTCCTGTAGGACCCAGAAAGGTGCACTATACAATAACCAAAATTTTAGACGGTACGAACCTCTTCAAGGAGAAAGAAAAGTAGGTTTTACCGTACCGTATGGTTTTTGTTTTAACAATATCTTCGTCGCTTCGCTCTTACAGTTTAATAACCAACGTTATTAACATAAAAAATGTATTTTAGGTTATGTACAAGGAAACAAAATAAATTGTACACTCCTATTGATATATTAAACAAGGACTTAACGTTAATTTATTAAGTCTCAAAAGTTTATTGGTCGGGGAAAAATATTTTACAGGTAAGATCAAATCACCTGCAGTCCCTGGTAGAAGTACCTGAATTACTGAGATTTATAAACAACCGGTCCTCTGTCCTTGAACTTCGTCTGTAAAAGAAACATGGTCTATCAAGGGGTCCTTCATAATTATAAAAACTCGACGAGTATACTAACTACTCCTACTACTAAAGATGTGGTCCTAATCTCTCCACGTCTCCTACACCCCCCTTTCTACGTCCTCCGAGGTAACTCGCGCTGTCTATGTCTGTCTCTCTGTCTATCCCTGCTCGACCTTTCTGTACCGGGGGGAGACACCGGTTCTCATCGTGCAATACAGAATAACGACAAAAATAAAAATTCACGCTTCGCTAAACTTTTTACTCTTAACGGGAGTCTTACGGTCGAAAACAAAGATACTCGTTACAGTTTACCTCTGGTGTAGGTATGTTGGATCAGTTTCCATACTGGGATGTCGGCACGGCTGACCTCCAGTTAAGTCCCATGAAAAGGGGTGAT